CTGAGCTGCAGAATCCGTTCAGCTGAAAGAGTTTTAGCGAGTTTAAACATACATGTTAGCTTCTAACCTGTAAAATAGTTGGTATTGTATAGTCACCGTCAAGTAGCTGATGATAAATGGTGAGGTAGTATTTTCTTTTTTATATACTTTTTTTTTTTTAACTCTCCCCCGACGATATTTTTTTCCATTGCTTTTCAGAAAGAGTGGGAGGGGGGGAGAGAGAGACATGGAAGGGTCCCTCACATCCATTGGTTGCCCAGGCCTGGGCGGGGATCCGGGGACCCTTCAGCCCAGGGGCCTAGGCTCCAACCACTGGGCGAACCGACCCGAGTGATGGTGTTTCCAGCTGCCTTGCTGAGTTTCCCTGGGATGGCAGGGAACTCACAGAGCTCACCTTCGTTGAGAGTTGACATAATTGCCTTTTGCACCGTGGCAAGGAAGGAAGCAGCTTTTAGAAGCGGGGCTGTGCTCCCCATCTACCTTTCTGTCAAAAACATGCAGGGCACCGGGGAGGACCCCATTTCTTACTCTTGAGTTGATGATAATCCAGATTATGTGTTGCTGAGTTGACCTGTATGGATTCAGGTTATGTATGTGAAACACTATTGTAAAATAAATTATTTGAACCAAGAACAAAGACTTGGATTGAAGTGTGTGCTATGTCACCCAAACCAGAACTGGCATGTCTGTAGCTAGGTAGTATCTGGAGGACGGCATTTTGCAGTAAATCTGGTATGAGCCCACTGCCCGGTGCTTTTCCAGAAGGCAGGGATTTCTAGTGACATTCACACCTCTTGCCTCAAAAACTTGAATATCCTTAACCCTAATGACACAGCTTCTACGTAGCCAAGTGTCTCAGGGGTTGCGGTGAAATCCCCAGATACGCAGTTTTTTAAATAGTTGCACAGTAACACTTTCAGGGAACTCAGTCAGGACTTATTTAAGAATAAGAATCACAGCAGTAGAGCCCAAACCATGTCCTACAGCGTTTTCATTCTCTCAGATACTAAAAAGACTATATTGTAGAAATAAAATTATAATCATTAACTAAAATGCCCTTCATTAGGCAGTTAATGACAGTGTGCTGTTTAACATGGCCTTAGCTTGCAATTATTTCCCAAGGGAATTATCCAGCTATATCTGCATATGCCTTTTGAGTATTGTGTCTTGCTAACCAAATATGAAGTTGATAGCTTAGTCTTCTCATTTTGTCCAAATACATGAAATGTGCTAGATTTTCTTCAGAAAATATTTTTGAGCTTCCTCCATAAACATTTGCTTTCCTAATACAAAAGTTCCCTTATTCTATTTTCAGTTTCATATTGGTGTATTTCAGCTAAATGGCTTACCTTATAGAATTTGAACCAAAAGAAAACTAGGAGCCCTGCGGTGTGGCTCAGCGGTTGAGCATCAACCTATGATCCAGGAGATTGTGGTTTGATTCCCAGTCAGGGCACATGCCAGGTTGGGGGCTCCATCCCCAGTGTGGGGTGTGCAGGAGGCAGCTGATCAATGACTCTCTCATCATTGATGTTTCTCTTCCCTCTCCCTCTCCCTTCCTCTCTGAAATTGTATAAAAAGAAAGAAAACAAAACAAAACTTGGAGTTCATTGAAACCAGTCATCAGTCGACACAAAACTGACAAGGATGATGCTTCATCATTGCCTTGGAAAACATACGCTGCATTTTAACTTGTGTTAAATTTTAACCCTAATTTTATTCTTAATTCAAGACCTTGCAACCAAGGCATTCATTGGAATATTACTTAGTAGTGATATATGTATTCTCTTGTTTTCAAAGGTGGGATATGAACCTCTTCCTCCAACAGTAGGACGAAATATTTTTGGGCGGCAAGTATGTCAGCTTCCTGGTCTCTTTTGTTATGGTAAGTAAGTGTCTGATTTATTTAGAATTGGGTGACATTGAGGATCATGACAAGCAGGAGTTTCTGAAGGAAAATATATAGAAAGCATATTCCTTTGAAATTTCTATGTAACTATTTCCTTCAACTGGAATTTAAATCTCTGACTTGTGTTCTTAGCTCAGCACATTGCGAGCATCGATGGGAAGCGCGGCTTGTTTACAGGCTTAACTCCAAGGCTGTGTTCAGGAGTCCTCGGGACTGTGGTCCATGGTCAAGTTTTACAGGTAAGAAAATCAGTTAATCCTCCCACAGATTTAAATGATCCATAAAGCAGTTTGTTCTACTGATCAAGAGCAATTCCAAAGATATATTTATAAACCATGGCCCTTCTTCCTCTTGAAAAACATGTACATGAAATACCCATTTTTAACTCTTTCCTGGGAAGCAAATGGAATTTGTGTGAGATGAAGTAATTGATTATGATCTACACAACCTTCTTCCTCTGAACCAGTTGTTCTGAGCAGAAATTAAATACACTTACTTGATCTCCTGTGTAGCTGATTTTATTTCTTTGAAGAAGGAAGGAAGCTGATGGAAACATAATTCTTTCTGAAGTTATTTTCCTCTTATTCTAGAGTTAACCCCTAGTAAAATGTTTTGTTACAAATTTATTTTTAACAAAATAAACATAAAAGTCAGGATAGTGTTTATTTGTGGGGAGAGGGAGAGAAAGAGGGGCCATGCATAGGGTTCTGGGGTAATGCGAATGATTTTCCTTGACCTGGATCATGGCTATATGGATATTGCCTTTTAATTATTTATTACATTGTACATTTGTATTTTATGCACTGTTTCTATACCTATGTTATATTTGCATAAATTTGAAAGTTTGTTTTGGGGTTTTTTTTTTGTTTTCTTTTTCTTTTTTTTTCTTTTTTAAAATATATCTTTATTGATTTCAGAGAGAGGAAAGGAGAGGGAGAGAGAGAGATAGAAGCATCAATGATGAGAGAGTCATTGATCAAGCCCACAACCCGGGCATGTGCCCTGACCGGGAATTGAACACCCGATTGCCTGGATCCTAGGTTGACGCTCAACCGCTGAGCCACACCTGGCCGGGGCGAAAGTTTGTTTTTTTAAAACCTCACTGAAGTGTACATCAACGGCAGGGTAGTGGTTACTTTTGGGAAGGGGGGAAGAGGTAAGGGTGGAATTCAGCTCTATCTGTGGCATTTTATTTTAAGAAGGCAAGAGATCTTAAGCAAAAAGGGCAAAATGTTAACATCTATTTTACCTTGGTGGTGGATACATAGGTGAATTACTTTCTTAATTTTTCTGTGTGTTTGAGATGTTTCACAATGTTTTTAAAAACATCAAAGTTCCTTTTATTCCTTTTTTAGTGATCCTTTTGTTTTACCAGCTTATTTTAACTTCAAATGCTAAAGCTTATAATTTTGATTGTACTGCTTTCTCAGTTGTACCAGTTACAATGTAGGTCAAACAGCATTGCCCTTTGCTCTATTTATAAAGGTATTATGAATACAAATTCTGTATCATTTAGAACAGTCCATGGGAAGGTTGTTCAGCATGAGAATGGTTGAGAATATAAACTATTGGGTTTTTTCCCTTGCATTATTCTGTCTCCTCCTGGCTCCAAGAGTATGCTATCCTCTGTGCTATAACTCAGAAAATGTTGTAGTGTATGCTAACTAAGTCTGTATAATGCTTTCAACCTATATAATGTATCAGATGTGCTCAATTCCAAATGTTTACTAACTACTTATTTAAATAGTACTCAACACAATCCTGTACTTTTTTATGCTTTAATGTTGCCCCACTTCTAATGTCTTATCATCTGATGGACAAATCATGATTTTGTTAAATAGTTGCATGATCTAATTGGCCTAGATTTTAAGTGCTTTTCAGCCTTCATTGATTTGAACTGGAGAGGTTTTCAGTCAGTTCCTCACATGGAAAGGGTTTCACCCTTCAGTTATTTTGTTATTATTTATATTCTTGTCATGCCTGTGGACTGAATTTAAAAGCATAGTTCTGGGTGGTCCATGGGTCAGAGTGATGGAGTCTTAATGGGTTTTGGTGGATTAATTACTATTTTCCAGTCACACCCTACTCTGGGCTCAGTGAAAGTGTTGCTGTTACCTAAGTGAGATTCACATACATAATTCCAGTTGTCATCTAGTCAGAGGTTTAGGTATAGACTGAGAGCAAAAGTGAAATTACTGCTTGAAACCAAGTTCCTTAAGACAAACTTGAGGTATCCAAGTATCAAACTTGAGGTATCCAAGTATCCATTTGAATATATGTTTCACATGTAGCCAAATGAAAATAACAGGGGTTAGTATTACACTTAGTATCAAAAACAGTTTATGCAGTCGAGAAGACAGATCAATTCCGGGTTGATGCAACTGTTAACTTTTATAAGAAAGAGTTCTGTATATCTGAACAAGAGTTAAATTGAAATCTGTTTAGAATAATGTAGAAGAGACAGGTAAAAAATTTTATTAATCGAGTAAAAAGCAAAGTCTAGAAATGAGTGACAATTTTTTAACATGCCTGAAACTATTAGAATTAATTCTAGTCAAAGACCTCTAATTTGACCAAAAACCACTATTTTGTTTAATCTTGATCTTTGTTCTCTTGCCTCTGATCTTTTAATGCATAATTCTTTTTACAAGAGAAAGTGTTGTCTATTTTTTTCATCTGGTGTGACTAGGAGCTTAATTATCTGACTCTTTAATTTCACCTAGCCCATCTTTTATTTATGAAATATCCCACAAATAATATTTCCTCTTTCAGTGTAGACTGAGCTCCATTGGTATTCATCTTCTCTTCTCTGGTAGGAGAAAAAATCTCTCTTGCTTCTTTTGGAAAGAGATACAGAAGACAATGTGAGGCGATTTCAGCTATTCAGACTTAGGACCAGTTCTCTGTTCTTTTGTACAATGAAGAAAAGAGTCTTGCCCTAGTTTGGTATTGGTCCTACTTTTCTCCATGAAAAAGCCAGGAGGTTTTTTCCATAGCCTTAGCCCTAGGCTATGTTTTTAACCAATTTGTTTTCTGCTAAATGTATGTTTAGTAAATGATGTTCTTGGATTTTTGTTTTGTTTTTTCTCCTTTTAGATTAGAGTTTTCATGAGCATTAGCTTGTCCCTTCAGCTGACCAATATGTTAAACTTAGCAATAAAATGGCCTTAGAGATACTTACTTACAATCTACTAGTTAAAATTAGAAGTTAATTGGAGATATCAACTGTTTTACTTTCTACCAATAGAGTTTTCATTTTATGTCCTCTCTCAATGACACTGTGATTGCCCTAATCACCCTTTCTTTCCTTTTCTCTTCCTCTGCAGCGTTACCAGGAGAGTGACAAGGCTGAGGTATGTTGAAGCTGATTTGTATGCATGGGCCCATTTCCCTTGCAAGTTACTGCTCTTTGGTTCTCTTTAGGAAAAGGGACAAGCAGTCAGTCTCCCTTTCATCTCAGTGAGTGTTGGCATACAGGGTGGCCTCCTGTTTGAACAGTTCTATTTAAAACCATCAAGATATGTCTTTTGTTTGGTTTCCAGGAGTTAGGACCTGGAAATGTACCAAAAGAAGAAGTTTCATCTTCCTTCGACCGAGTTATCAAGGAGGTAAGAGATGAGTTATGTCCTATGCTATTTCCCTAAATCAGAGGATGTTTAGTGGGTACTTGTAGAATCAGGATCAGGCCTGTATGTGCAGTGTCTGTTCCAAATGAAATTAACCCTTCGCCCGGCCGAGCATGGCTCAGCGGTTGAGCATCGACCTAGGATCCAAGCGATCGGGGTTCGATTCCCGGTCAGGGCACATGCCTGGGTTTCAGGCTCAATCCTCGGTCGGGGGCGTGCAGGGGGCAGCCGATCAATGACTCTCTCATCATTGATGTTTCTGTCTCTCTCTCCCTCTCCTTTCCTCTCTCTGAAACCAATAAAGATATATTAAAAAAAGAAAGAAAGAAATTAACCCTTCATTATGATTTGGGCTTTGCTATATGTATAACAGAGAGAGAGGAAAAGCATTGCTTGCTCTTCAGCATAGATGCATTTCAAGGAAACTAATTTTGCCCACTCATTTCATTTTTAAAACTGAAGGAATTTCTACTAAGAGTTGAAATTCTCTGGTACAAAAGTGTTAAAGTAGTGGCCAGACCCTTTGTGTGTTGGACATTATATATCCAGAAATACTTTTACAGCATTATTCTGACCTCGGAAGATTCCTCATCACCCATTTCCCACTCCCAAACTTCCATTGGAGTTTATTTCGTTCCTGACTTAATATTTATGGCTTTCAGACTACTCTTTTATTTCTTAGTCTTTACGTTGCCTAATTGTCTTTAGTGAGGTCACAGTTTTCTAGTAAATGCTGCCATCTAAAATATATATATTCCAAAACAAACCTTACTATGGGTCTAGACGTCAGATGAATCAACTTCATTTTCCATAATTTACATGATGTGTATTAATGGGCATTTTGTCTTTTCTTAACTTTAGTTGGCCCATCGTGTCCCATAGGCTCTTTTCACCCACTGGAATAGGGTGAGGAATGTCTTAACTTAGCAACTGATGGTAATGTTTACATGCAGAAATGAGCGACAGACCTACCTCCAAGTATTGTAACTTCGTTTTCTTCACCACCTTTATAGCATCTTGTAAAGAGAAGGGTAAACTAGGGTAAATGTAGCAGCTCCAAGCTATGACAGGGTTATAGGGCTGTGGTCAGAAAGCAAAGTCCTGTTCTCCCAGAGATGCTGGCACAGATTAAATGGAGCCTGGCTTTTGTCCAGCGTAGGTGTCAGAGTCTCTGAAAGCACACACAGTGAGAGCAGCTTAGTAATCTGAATATAGCCCTCATACTTCTATTCCAGCCCAGGTGACTGTTTGCTGGTGACCCTCCCTGTTTCTTTGGCCTTGTTTTTCTTATCTGTAAAATTGAGAAGATAACAGAAACCTTTGCAGAGAAATTTTGAGCAGTAACTATAACAACATTGAAATCCACAAGTGAAAGGTATGATACAGTGACAGTGTGTTATACTGTGTGCATCCAAGCTGCTTGCTCTTCCTGACTCTAGGGCAGGAGCGCCGGTTGCTCACTTTCTTTTTCTACGATGTCCACCCATGTAACTTCTCACAGGAGTGAGTGTCATTTATTTAGATTTCAGAAGTGTGTGTTGATTGTTTCTAGACAACTCGGGAGATGATGGCTCGTTCTGCTGCTACCCTCATCACACATCCCTTCCACGGTATGTTCGCAGTTGACAACTGAAATCTGATTTCTTCTCTTTCTTCTGTAACGTGATCTCTCCTGACCACTTAGATGGTTGACATGGGGGTTCAGTAAAGTGCCTTTCCTGCATGTTTTTTGTTTGCTTCATATTTTGGCTTTTTAACCAGTTTATCCAGAAAGCAACGTGTCTTTAGGTAGAAAACCTCTGTGTGTGTTTTTTCAGGGCTATCAAAATTTATCTCAGTATAGTTTAAAAATCTTTTCTCTGTGTTCTGTAGTGATCACTCTGAGATCCATGGTACAGTTCATTGGACGAGAATCCAAGTACTGGTAGGTGTTTTTGTTTCCAAGTATTCAAGGGGATCTGTTGAAGCCAAACTAGTAGGATACAAGTGCTTTACATTGTTGTGCTGCCTTAGAGTGTACAGGACAATTCATACATCTCATCATGTGATCTGCATAAAAACTGGTAAATAGAAGAAAATGGCCCCATCAGGTTTAGGAGCCTACCTGGGATCTTAGAATAAGTTACAGAGCCACTGAAACCAAAATTCATACTGGCTCCATGTGACTGCATCCTTAGTAGCATCTCCACTTCTGTGTCCAAACTCAGCTGCCTCTGCAGAGCGAGGGTAGTAGATGAGGGTGGGAGGGGGGCATAGATTTGACCTTGTTAAAAGTGATAATTGAACATTTTTTTAAAATAACTTCAAAATAAACTTAATATCCTTCCTTTGTACCTAGTGGACTTTGTGACTCCATAGTAACCATCTATCGAGAAGAAGGCATACTAGGATTTTTTGCGTGAGTAAATTGCTGATGTGTGTGTGATTTTTGTAAGTAGGAAGCTTTCATGAAAGTGAAGACGTGACTCTTAATATCGCCCTTGAGGAAAATGCACTCTCTGTGTTCACGTCACATTAAGCTTTACTTAGACGCTGTTGGCTTGAATTCTCTTGTAGAGATCCCAGACTTTGCTTCTGGACATGTAAAACATTTGAAATGAGGGCTTTGGGGTGTGTGTATTTTTAACAAATAAATACCAAGTTTCTACCTTTATGTTTCCAATATGTACCGTTGATAAAATAAGGAAAATTAATTTGTGAAAAACGGAGAAATCATCTAACATGTAGCTTCCTTATCCTGAGAGAATACATTTTTGCAAGACGGTATCAGTTCCCTTGAATTTACTTTGGAAGAACTTAAGACTGCTACTCTTGCCCGACCGGGCGAGGCTCAGCTGTTGAGCATGGACCTAGGATCCAGGTGATCAGGGTTCGATTCCCAGTCAGGGCATATGCCCAGTTGCGGGTTTGATCAATGACTCTCTCATCATTGATGTTTCTATCTCTCTCTCTCTCTCCCTCTCCCTTCCTCTCTCTCAAATCAATAAAGATATATAAAAAAAAAAAAAGACTGCTATCCTCATTTTTTTAATTAACAGTAAAAACTGCATTATTAAGTAAATGGTCCTTTTTCATTTTAAAGTGTTTCTACATAGTTGATTTTTTTTTTTTTTTTTAATCCTCACCGGAGGATATTTATTCCATTGCTTTTCAGAGAGGGTGGAAGGAAGAGAGAGAGAGGAACATCAATGAGAGAAAGAGACACACGTAGATTGGTTGCCTCCCACACGCACCCTGAAATAGGACCAGGGATCGAGCCTGCAACCGAGGTACACGCCCTTGGCCGGAATCGAACCCGGACCCTTCAGTCCACAGGCCAACGCTGTAACCACTGAGAAAAAACTGGCCAGGGCTACATAATTGATTTTATTCATGTATCATAAATACTCTGGGAGATGGGCAGAACAGCCATTATTATTCTCATTTTAGAAATTTTTAAAAAATGGATGCTCTGGGAAGTTTATTTGCTGCTGGTCATCTAGCTCATGTGATGGAAGTGGCATTTGAACCCTGATCCTCAGTCTGTGGGGTAATGTTTATCCCACTACCCCATGCTGGCTCACTCAGATCACTGAGACTCTCAAAACATGGGGTTTTTTTATGTCTCTCACCTATATGTGTTTGGACCTCTCTCATCTTGTAATTTTTCTCATCTTTTGCCCTGCCAAATTTTCATATCAGATATAATTTAGCAAAACCCATATTTAAGTCTCTTTTCCAAAGTAGGCAAAATTTTGGCCCTCCTGCTTGTAGTTAATAGTAAGGTGAGCCATTGGCCATAGCTTAGAGGAGTATAACTGACCTGCATTTTAAAAATAGGAGTGAAAGTCATTAGAGATTAGCCTCAAGTACAATTGTATCAACTAGAATGAACTAGTTATGAGGGCTAGGTTCTGGAATTTGATGTCTTTTTAATTCTCTGGAATGTTTTTAAATCTCTGGTTATTTGGGAAGTGTTTGGATTATCTTTTTACTGGTCACATTTCTTGATTCTTATTTTTATTGTTTCTTCATGTAGGGGTCTTATTCCTCGCCTCCTAGGTGACATCATTTCTTTGTGGCTCTGTAACTCACTGGCCTACCTCGTCAATACCTATGCACTGGACAGTGGGGTAAGTTGTGACCTTGATAAGATGTGCTAGTGCTGACTTTATTGTATTCACCCAGCAGCTAGTTTAGCTTTAGAAAGTATGATGGCTGCCTGGCTGGGCATGGCTCAGTGGTTGAGCATCCGACGTAGGATCCAGGAGATCTCGGTTCGATTCCCGATCAGGGCACGTGCCCGGGTTGTGGGCTCTATCCTCAGATGGGGAAGTGCAGTGTTTCTATCTCTCTCCCTCTCCCTTTCTCTCTCTTGAAATCAATAAAGATATATTTTTTAAAAACAAAACAAAAAAAAAATGGTATGATGGCAGTTTGTTATGTGCCAGAATCATCATCATATAGTTGAACATCAGTCAAGTTTTCAAAGGCTAATGGGATGACCTATATTGTGTACCATGAGAGATGCACCTAAAAAGTCCTAGGTGTGGCAGAGTAAGCCCAAGAGATCTATCCCTGTCTCTGCTGCAAGGAGTATATTCAGTGTGTTTCATCTATTCTGAAGTGTTGAGGAGACTCCTGTTTTGAGCTTTCTAGAAACCTCAGCCTGGGAGGTTTGGGGAATCAGCCTTTCCTAGAAGTAATGTTTCCTCCGCCTCAGCAGTTGTGGGCCTCTTTGTACTCAGCCAGCCCTGCAGCATGGTGGAAAATAGAACACACCCAGGGGTAGGACTGAGTCCGTGTTGTAAGCTTCTTGAGTATGGAGACTGATCTCCAAAGCATTTGGGACACAGCTGGGTGTGCATAGAGTTGGTGACTTGTCTCTTGGGTATACCATAAATGTAGTAGTTTCTAGGACAAGGGAAAGGTTACCAATCTCATTTTCTTTTGAAATCCTCAGGCTGTTACACTCATTCCTAATTTATCTTATAAATTCATCTAGTATGAATTTGTTAATGTTGAATCAAGTGGATCATTTTGACCACTGTCTTTTTATGCTCATAAATCAGTATTTTATGTTTTTATCCTCAAAATTAATTTTCAAGCTGTCAGAGAAACTGATAATGTAGAGAGAACATATTGATATGGTTGGGACAACTAGCTGTTAATACCAGATTGTTTTTCTTACTCATTCTAATAAAGGCTTCCTTCCTATTATAGGTTTCCACCATGAATGAAATGAAGAGTTATTCCCAAGCCGTCACAGGAGTGAGTTGTTGTTTTTAAAGCCTTTCAACCTTCTAGGAATTGTTTGGTTTTCTTTTAAATTTGGCCTGTATTAGCACTGCTTTAAAGCAACCAGGTGTTTCCCAGGAAAGTCGGACTTGTTAGTGTTTGTCAGAGGTAAGACTAGCCCAGAGTTCCTACAGCACAGTACCAGTGATAACAAGCCCACGTAGTTTGTTGTTCAGCGTTCAGGAGGGGGATGTGGGCACTTCTCATCACAGCTCATTCCCGGGTTCTCGGGCCTGCTTCTCCCTGCAGCCCATGGATCCTGCCGTGGAAAATGGTACCTTCTTTAGTCATATGGAGCCTTCCAGTAGTTGATCTCTAAAGTGATCTCTAAAATGGTTTCTGTTGTCTTTAGACGGCTGCTCATGTTTTCTTATTTTCCTCAGGGGTGTTTTGAAATTGTATTTAGTTATATTTGCTTTTAAATATTGTAGTTCAGTTTTATTTCAATGAGGACTGAATCACAGAATAAGAGAATTATTCTGGCCTTTAGTTAAAATGTTAGCTGTAGTGATATATTAAGAGAGGGAAGTATCTTCAGGCTGAAAAATGTATAATTTAATCTTTTCTGGGATACTGAAAAAGCAAAACCAGTGTTGGAGTATTTGGCCACAGTGATGCTAGGACTTTAAGGGAGAAGAAAGAAGACTGATGACCTAATAACTTCGCTGTCTTTTTACTGTTTTACAGTTTTTTGCCAGTATGTTGACCTATCCCTTTGTGCTTGTCTCTAACCTCATGGCTGTCAACAACTGCGGGTGAGCGTTCTGCATCTCTTCTCCTGGCAGTTGGCTGCCGCGTGCTTGACAGGCAGGGCAGGCCTGGTAGAATGTGGGGGAGGAGAGGAAGGTGGTGCCCTGACTAGATTTCCTCATTTTTCTCCCTCTGTGCCCTGAATGCCAGCAGTGGCATTAATTTATATTTCACCTCATAGCCTATTTTGGAATAGGGGAAGACATAAATAAATTTCTCAAGTGTTTATAAATAATATGCACTTGCCATATAGGCCTTATTCTGAAAAGGACAGAATTATCAAATTATTCTATTTTTACACCTTTCCTTTATTTTAAATCCTGCAGAGTCAGGAAGGGAGAGGGGGAGAGAGATAGAAACATCAATCGGCCGCCTCCTGCACAGCACCAACGGGGGTTCGAGCCCAAACCCTGGGCATGTGCCCTGACTGAGAATCGAACCATGACCTCCTGGTCCATGGGACGATGCCCAACCAACTGAGCCATACCTACCAGACTCTCCTCTTTTTCTTGAAAGTTACAAAAGGTATATCAGGGATTGAATGACAACCTATACCTGTTTTTTCCTAGGGGCTTTATGGAGAAAGTGAGTTTTAAAGAAAGGAAAATAGGGAATTTGGTCCATGGAAAGTTTCTTAACCTTTCAGTGTATTGGTCAGGAAGGGTAGGCATGGTGTGGTGCTGGACACCATTGGGTCCCAGCTTCTAGATGCCAAATGACCATACCAAGTTGGACAGGTTTCGCCTCTCCAGAAGAACTCTGTTCCAATACAGTCCCTAGTACAATATACCATCAGACATCCATGTCATTGTTTTCAAACAAGATATCAACTAGAAAGCTGTGTGGAGTTTCGAGCACAGTTGCCATATTTCGTATCATGTCACGTTCTGTTTGTTTTATGGTTGTAGAGCAGCTGCCGTATTTTAGCCCAGAGCATACTTGAAGGATGAGTTAAATGTGTTACTATTCCTTATAATTTTTGGAGAGAAAGTGATTATACCTGAGTAAGAGCATGTAGTCACCACTCTTTATATCCATTGTCCTATTTAGAAGCTTATAAACACCACTTAGTTCTTAAATCCCCTTTTCCCACTCTTTAATCACATAATCACTGTGATCTAGAATTTCATATGTCCACAAATTAAAAACTTAGATGTTTTAGAAAATAGGTAACTGACTAAAGTTTCTATTTGTTGATTCAAAACCTAAATATAAGGGAGGGAAATTTATTAGATCTAAAATTGCCTCTCAGGGAAACTTCTAGGCAGGAGAATATTTTGACAGATTTACTGGACTCTTGAGAGAAAGTTTTATAAATGTTAACTTGAGTGGCTCCTTTCTTTTCCTATTTCAGGCTTGCTGGTGGGTGCCCTCCTTACTCTCCAGTATATTGTTCTTGGATAGACTGCTGGAGCATGCTACAAAAAGAGGTACTTCTCTCATTCTCTCTCCCTCTCTTGCCTCCCCCCCCAATATATTTTACTTTTTGTTTTTGTTTGTTCTCTTAAATAATGTCTCTGGAATCCCAAGTTAATTCTTGTAGCTTACCTTTTAGCTACCAAATGCTGTGCCCTTTACAGTGCTCCATAGGTCATCTGGCATAGTAGTAAATGTGCTGTTCAGAACTCATCAGCAGGGGTAATGAAGAAGCAGAAATCCCTAGATGTGTCCGGATGCCGTTTGAATGATCACTTGCAAACTACAAATAGGCTCTGGGTAGATGCTTATTCTGGTTGTGAAAATGATGGCCTTGGTTTCAGATTTTTTTTCCTCCAACTTCACCTTTTTGTAACTTCTCAGAATCTCCTTATGTATTCAAGTCTTTTCTTACAGTGTGGTAGAGAGGAAACTGAGAAATAGAAGTTGTTTATGACATTATTTGTTCACAATGATGTCGATAGAGCTGGTCTCTTACTTGTAGTCTTAGTCCCAGTTTTGTCGTAGTCATTTAGTTATGTCTCCCAGAAACATGTTAGTGGATGATTTTGTTCAGACTCCAACTTATTGTTTGTTATTGCTGTGAGATATATCATCTGCAGCCAAAAATTCCTGATCAGTCTCTGCAAAGCTTTATTAGGAAACAAAATAATGGATGGCTGTGTGCTAAATTTAACACAGGATCACTTAAAATGGCCATCAGTTTAAAACTGTTTTTGAATGGGAAGCACTTTTTTTTTTTTTTTTTAATCCTCACCAAGGATACGGTTTTTTTTAGAGAGGAAGAGAGAGAAAAACATCGATGTGTGAGAGAAACATTGATTGGTTGTCTTCCATACGTGTCCCCACTGGGGTTCAAACCAGCAACCTAGGTATGTGCCCTGACCAGGAATCAAACCTGCAACCTTTCAGTGCACAGGATGATGCTCCAACCAACTGAGCCACACTGGCCAGGGCAAGTGGGAAGCACTTTTTATAGGATTGTAGAAGAAAGTATATGAAGAAGCTCTTTGTTGCACTAGTGACACATAGGACAAAGGCCTTTGTTCACAGAGCTCAGGTTTCCCCAGCCTGAAGTCAAATGAAAAGACCTAAGTGCTACTGTGGTTGCTTTTGCTCAGCGTGCATGCCCAACAAGCGCCTCCGTGAATGCAGGCCAGAACTTGAGCCTACAACTGGGGCATGTGCCCTGACCAGGAATTGAACCATGACCTCAAGCTTCATGGGTCGTCGCTCAATCCACTGAGCCACACTGGCCGAGCAAGCTAGAACTCTTGAATGACTTTCATACAGACCTAACATGAACATACTGGGTTTCATTCTGAGTTTTACACTGTTTTGGACAATCTCCTACTGTTATCCCAATTTAAAAGGAAAGGTGGCCCTTCTTTCCCTACTTTCTAACCAACCCCCTTCTATAATAAGAAGGCAGATAGGAAATGTATTAGGGTATCAGATACCTTACCTAGGGAACAGTTGATCCTATAAATGCTTAAGACAATACAGATCTTGATAGGAAATTTGCTGTGTATCAAGCATCATGCTAAGAGCTTCCCACACGTCAGCTAAGGTAATCCTCAAAATAATCATATGAGGCAGGTACCATTTTTTGTCATCCCACTTTACATATGAAGAAACTGGGATTTTGAACAGTTAAATAACACCAATTACGTAACTCAAGGTTATACAGCCTGTATTTGGGAGAGCAGAATCTATGTGCAGGCTGTCTAAACCTCAGAGTCTACTCAGTCAGGCTCACACATTATTACTTTAACTGTAAGATTCTATAAGTACTCCCTAGAGACCTGACTATTCCATTAAAAAATAAAAGTTAGCACTCACTGGGTGTTAGGACTGTTCTCAGCACTCTGTATATATTGATTCATTTCATAGCCCAGTTAGCAAGTGGCAGAGCCAGAATCCAAACTGGAAATTTTGTCTAAATAAATGTTTGCCTTATCCATGTGGCAAAATTGTAGTTAGTTCCACAAAAGCTCAGCGTGAGTCAGAGAGTACAGATTGCTACTCTGAGTGATACTCCCAGTTTTGTCCTAGCCGTTTAAGTTTCCTCTCCCAGAAACATGCCCAATGGGATCTCTACTGATTTGAACTGGCTGATCTCATCTTCACACTAGACTTTATTTGTATTTATTTTTTTTCCAGGGAAATATGAGCCGAGGAAATAGCTTGTTTTTCCGGAAGGTCCCCTTTGGGAAGACATATTGTTGTGACCTGAGAATGTTAATTTGAAGATGTGGGACAGGGACAGTGACATTTCTATAGTCCCAGATGCACAGAATTATGGGAGAGAATGTTGATTACTATACAGTATGGCACGCTTTTTTAATAATCATTTGATCTTGGGAAAATGGAGGTGTTTGGTGTCTGCTTTTTTTGTTCTTTTTCCCAGCACAGCATAATTTACCTCTAATATTCCCCCTTTAGTTATTCTCAAATGGGACAATTTTGCTCCAGACTCTTTATTTTACTTAAACAGAAAAGTTGCATTTTCCTCAAGGTTGTCATGTGATTTGAGTCATAATTCAAAGCATTGTAAAATGAAGAGTACAGTCCCCAGAAGAAGTAATTCTATAAAACTTAGGAATAGTAAGGCAGACTGAGTGGGAGGTCAAGAATGACCTTTTCTTTAGTAGAACCTGAAAACTCAGCAGCACCCACCAGAACCTGCTTCCCATTGTGTGCTTCTAAGCATTTTTTATTAACCCTATCTCATACTCCATAAAAAAGGACAATCCATTGATAAATCACCCTAGAATATCTCTACATGAGGCATCCACACCTTCAGTCTGTTATTGCAAAGTAATAAATTGTTGCCAACAACAGAAAAAAAGACAATTATAGAGAATAAGAATTCGGAAAGAGAGCATAATGGCTTTTTCTCCCCCCAAAAGAAATTATTCTTGTCATTTAAAATATGAAAAGCAAATATTGTGGCAGTAGCCCCTTCTCTAAAAGCTAAGTCGTTGCCAGTCCCTAAGTGACATCATTACACAGTTCTAATTGTATACACTCTTGTTCAGTTTTTGTTCTGTTTTCTTTTTGTTGTTGCAGAAGGTGAGTAGTTTGTCTTTCATTCCTGTGACACCCTTGGCAAGTGTGCTTGTAACTTCCTATCAGATGATGCAGTCCACAGGGTTCTTAGGATATTGATCACCTCGCATGTCATACCCTCTTTAGGCACGTTAACGAGCATTTGCAGAGGGAAAAAAATCACTTTAGAAGGCAATGAATTTCAACTCGAGCATAAAGCTTCTATCTACTCAGGACTTTTAAAAACAGGTTAAAACGCTCTAAGATGAGAAAGTATATGGTTTCACTTATTTAAGTAATCCGCTAGGATGTTGCCAAATGAGTAAGCACTTAATTTGCTGCTTCTCAGACTTCTCTATCAAAGCAGCAGCCCCCATGATAGCCGAGTGAGCATGCAGGGGTCTCCTTCCTCCCCCAGGGTTTAGGAATACAGCCTGAAACTCATGAGCAGCTTACCTTGAAATGTTGTTGATGTCTCTTTCTTTGTCTGAAAAAGTAATGTAAATTTTATATTCTATTCAATATTATATGCATTTGTTTTAATATAAAAATGTTTTGCATTACCCGTCTTTTCCCCCCCAAAAAAATCTTCAAGTAAAGATGATCTAGGAAAATGTGCCATGTTTATTATCCTGTGGCTTCTGTGCTCATACATGCCTGCCTATTCCTAGTTGAGTTTGACTGTGAGGACCAGTCTACCACCAGAGGGCGCCAAGGCTTTGATTTTTGTCTGTGCTGCTAAAAAATTTCACCAAGGCCTGGAAATGTTCCAAATACTAGTTCAGTCAGTCTAACTGCATCCAAGTGATAGGTCCAATAAGGGCACTATTCCTGTGTTCCTCCATAAAATTTAATAGGCTGTTAATATCAAAAGTCTGAACTTCATTCAGGGGCTTGTAAATTCAAGTAGGTACTTTAAAGATACACATGTAAAAATAATGAACTCTCTCATGGAGTAAATAATAGAGACTGAGATAACGATTATCTAGTAAACTGCACCTGTGAAACTGGGCGAGTGCTTTGCCTTGGCAGTGCTGAGCTAAAGTGCCAGGAAATATCCCCCCTTGGGAGTGTGATGGTCACTGAAGCCTTGATTGAAGAATGTGAAGTTTCTTGGGACTTTTGGGGTGGTTGTAAAAATACCAGGGTATAAAAGCAACCTTAGGATGAAATAAACTTTAAACATAATCCTACATCCCAGTTTCTTACTGTTCCCTGAATATACCTTGGCTTCGTTATGATCTCTTACTTTAGAAGTGTCCTCTTTTCCCTTCCCATTGACATCTGTCCTCTATGTAAGATTCAGTTCTTATACCATCTCTTTGTGAAGCCTCTCATTCATAATCCTCCCAGACAGAGGAAGTCTTTGCCTTCAAGCTCCCCTCCCCTAAATTCTGTAATTACAGTACAAATTGAACTGACAAAATGGAAACTACATTGAAAACCAAGTTTAAGGCTTACCCAGCAGTGGCATTACTTCTCGCTGATTTGAAAATCTGTGAACAAAATTGCATTTAGCCCTTTTAAACAAGCCCACTAAAACACTGGGCTTTATAGAAAAACTAGCTGGTCAAGCAGCAGTACATGCAGTTGGGCAATCTAAGGTGCAATGGCAGGAGCAAGAAGAGAGAGAGGCTTTGGAAAGTAATGACTGCCAAGCCTGTCATGTAAGTTTTAATTCTCATGATCTTTGGTAAAAATAAAGAAAATGAGATTCAGATGCAGTTACTCATTCAAAACTGCAGAGCAGGTTTCAGAGCTGGATTCAAACCCGAGTTTCAAATGGAAGACATATTTATTGCTTCCTGACAGCTGTGAAATGCTGAGAAAAAGCAGCCAATGAACTGAGCGGTAAGTCAGTCATCCATCTGAGGAAAAAGACCCAGCCTCCTAGTGGAGGCAGTGAACTGAAGAACAGCCTCCCCCAGGACAGAGCAGAATGGTCTTAAATCAGGAAATACAAAGTTCTTGCCTCTCCGGAATGATAAGTAGGTGAAGCAACTGAAAATAGAAATGATCGCATGACTTCCAGACTGTGATGATGGTTGATGCAGCTGGAGAGCGAAGTTCTTGTGCTACAAAGATTTACTCCTAGGAGTCCCGTCAGTCTGTTTTATTTGGATTTCTACCACAGTTGAAGGATAGCATTTCTTGAAAGTGATCTACGTGTCAGCTCCTCTGATGGATTCTTCTAAAACAGCCTTGCATGTTAGATGGCTTCATTCGGGCTGCCTTCGTAAGTGCCGCAGTAACATATCTTTTTTAAATATAGACAAAGATAGGTATTTTATCTCCTTTGCAGAGATTTTTAGGGTACCTAAGGATGTCACATGTGATGTCTCATTTCCCCACCTCTGTTGACCCTTCTTCTTACTGTCTCTTCATACTTGAGAGTCAAAACCTTGTATTCTTACACTCTGACTTTTGTCTTAGGAGGAAAGTTGCAAATGAAAGGTTCTTTGCCACCAACATTCTTCTTTTCAGGAGAATATCTTTGAAGGTAACTGCTTAGTTTTCTAAAGCAACTGAGTGTTTTCCTTCCAACAAACTTTGTCCATAAGAATCAGCTTCCTCATCTGTTTGTTGCCTAAAGAGATGTCTTGGGGAGGCTCCCACATGCTGTATTGGTCTGCCATAATTCGTAGGCATGAGATGACATCTTGAAAAGCCCATTTTGCCTTGCTCTCATAGTGGATTCCTCTGCAACCCAGGTCCAAATCTCCTACGTGGGACCAAACAAGCAAATTTTGTATTAAAACCACAATTGTTTACCCAACTTACTGCAACCCTGAAAAATAATGTTTTCAAGTAGATTCAGATCAGTATCACACTCCAAAACATGGCTGGAGAACAGTGCTTTAGAGAACGTCAAGGGAAAGGGGGAGAAATAGAAACGTGACCTGGACTTGCTATCCAAGGTGCACCAGCTTCCTGAGAGGAGAGCAAATACTGAAACGAGCCCTGTCCCTCCCAAAGTCTCCATGATGGCAGTGGGTGAGAGGAAGTTTTCTACACCAACTTCTGCTCACTATGGCAGCCAGAAGGAGGACTGTTCTCTGGTCATGCCACATTTCCACGGAAAATCTACTCAGTATTGCAGCTTATTTCCAAACAGACTAGTGTAAGGAGCCAGAGGGTAAATAAGGGCAAGAAGCAGAACTGTACCTAGTTGCTGTCTATCCAGCCTGAGGCCCTGCCCTCCTGGCAGCACAAAGACTGGTGAGAATGTCCCTGTGGCTGGAGACAAAGGAGCCTGAAATGGAAACAGCCGCACCTCACTTCAGACTGCTCCCTCCCACTGGAACTCGGGACATGTGCCTTTCCTCCCCCCTAAGGGACCCGCGTTTAGAGTTAATAAGTGCAGCCCTCAGTTATTAATGTGTAGCCTGTGCAAAGTGTGGTAGGGGAGGGTGCCCGAGTGTGCAATAAATCCCTGTCACCCATGGTGCTTCCTGTGCACTGAGGGAGGGATGCAGTGTGACAAGAACAAAAACAAGACGTGGGGGGAGGAGTAAATGGAACCATACGTAGAACAACAGGCTGGTACACTGAACGGGGACAGGCACTGAGTCCCGGAAACACTTGCTGTGGTGACTGTCATCCAGTATGTGCCAGGAGGTGCTGAAACCAAGCACCTTGGGGTCCACAGAAGGACAGCTCACATCCTGTTAGGAGGACTTGGAGAAGACTTCAGGAAGGACAGTGAGGGTGCTGGGAGGCAGGATGGCAGATGGGAACCATTTCCAGCCCTGTCACTTAGCAGCTGCGAAGTCTTGGGCAAGCTCCTCATCTCTAAATGAGAGCAGTCCTCTTACTGGAGTATTGGGTTCGGTACAGTGCCTGAGAAAATACTCGGGATGTGGTGGCCATTACTATCGGAGTTAGAAGGGGAGAGGGCACTTGACAAGTTTGGAGAATATGGGCAGTCATGGACCTGGACGGCTGAAGAGTGGAGGGCAAGTGCAATTGCATCTCTAATTTCACCAAAGCTCTTTGACGCTCATTTGAATAATGAGCACACAGAACAGTTACTGCCACATAGGACTCAGTAAATGTTTGTGAATGAAGATGTCCTTCAGGATCTCAAAATTGAATTACATCTTGACCCTTTTCCCCAAGCCTGCAGGAATGATTGCATTCTCAAATTATTAAACACTTCATTAGCACCCTGTTTCCCAAGCTAAAAACCCTGGAGATGACTGAGCCCTCCCTACCCTTCCCTCTGCTTCTGAGAAGTCACCGCTAGGTTCTCAGAAGTGCCTCTTGGATTTGTCATCTCCCCTCCATTGCCACCGGCTTGGTGATCATCTCTGCTCAGCTGTTGCAGCAGCCTGTTATCTTGTCTTCCTGCCATCAGCATAGCACAGTGGGCAGTAGATAAGCTGGAGCTCTGCCGCCTGACAGGGTCTGCAGGACAGCTACAGCTGCCTGCCTCCGCAAGTTTCCATCGAGGTAAGACCTGACCCGCGCTGCTTGAGACTTCTTGTCCTCGTGTCCTAAATCCTTACACCCTGAGCCCAAGCCACACAGTCCCAGTTCTCCCACAACCTCCTCTGCTCTGCGCCTGTGTCCCTCACCAGCAGCTGCTGTTTTATGTTCCACCGAAGCCTTGTACAGGAGGAACCAGGCTGAGAGATGGGTATTTATAAATAGAAAGTGGGTGTAAAGTTCTGCAAGTGTGTCAAACAAGGCTAATTCCATCGCCTCCATTGGAGCTTTGACCTTCCTGTCCACCTCCTCATCTTGCATCTTCCCCAAAGGCTGTGAATCCCTGTCCTCTCCTTGGTTACAGCTATGGTAACCCTGGAAACCATGGTGGCTAAGAGGTGTGACCTGGAAGGAGTGTGGGAAATACAGATTCATGGTGTATAGCCAATTGTACAGGGTAAAAGCTATCAGGATAACCAATGTACTTACTGCCTAATAAGAGGGTATTTGTTGGTGGCCTACTACATGTACTGCCCATATATCCATTAGCTCCAACCCATAAAACAGCTATATAAGCAACAGCATTCCTGTTTTACTGATAGAAAAGTGAAACTCAGAAGGGTTAACTGATTTGCCCAAGACTGGTAAATGACAAAGCCAGGATTCAGACCTGGGTCTGCAAGTCTGAGGAATTTCTAAAATGTTGTGTACATGTATTGAGTCCTGTTTTTCTGCATAAAAATAGAAACAGATTTAAGAAGTTAAACATGAAACTTGATGAGCGGAAACTCGTGATTTGATAACACTAAAAGGGTCAACATTGTATATTATGGTTGCGTACACAGAAACCCAACAAACTGGCTTAAGAAAAGAAATTTACTGGCTCAAGTAGCAGAAATGGCCAGTGGTTAACCCACTGGTTCAAACAAAGGCATCAGGACCCCCATCTTCATCCCAGGAGTCCACCCACCTCTGCCTGCTTTTCCTCTCAGGCTCATTCCATGTGGTGACAGCATGTCAAATGGCAGCTCCACTCACTTGGCTTCTTAGAGCTTGTAATTTCAGAGGACAAGCAAATATCTTACAGAAACTCCTGGAGGACTCTGACTTGAAACACACGCCCATTTTTAAGCCATTCAGTGAGTCTGGAGTACTCTACTGGCCAGAATGGAGTCTCAGGCCCAGCCTGAAGGGGTCAGGATCCAGGATCAGCCCCACTGGAACGTTATACTTTGAACTGGAGGCATGGCTCATCAAAGGAAGGCTCGCTGGGCAAAGACATACACTGCTACCTGTTTAAAAGAAACAGCTTGAATAGAGCAGGAAAGAAAGCAACAATCCACCAAGAACATACAACCTCTGAAATTCCACAAACCTGAGATGAGCACAGGGGTTTTGTGTATTGGAACCTTCTGTGCACAGGTGCCTCAGTCACACCATGTCAATGTTTTCTCAACCACTCCATCAACCAGAAAAAGCCCTGTTTTTCAAGTGAGGGAAAATAGAAGCTCAAAGATTTAAACAACTTGTTAGGAAGGGGCAGAGCAAGAACTGAGACAGCTGGGTGTGTTTGACTGCAAATCCTGCATGCTTTACAGCGCAGCACATTGCTAGGCTGGGAAGGACAGAAACAGAGCCTTGGGGTGAGACTGAAAGATGATCACGTGGAAGCCACATCCCTGTGGGAGCTCACCTTCAGTTGCCCGGCCGTGCTCTGAGGGCTGGAAGACGGCCTCTGCCCTGGCAACCAGAGTGCCCCA